GAAAGCGGTCACTGAACTATCTAGCAAGATGGATAGACTGATCGCTGTATGTGAACGCTTAGCGATGGGTGTAAGTGAAAGGCGTATGGAAGAAAAGGATAGTGATGCAATCACTTTCCCATTAAAAGCGCATGACGAGTTGTGTTCTTTAGAGGCAGCTTTAGACAACCAAAATTTCCGAGATCATTTTGTAAGTTGTAACAGGTGTTTGAATAAATTTTAGATGGGAAGATTATACCATCTACTATGTGATGATCTTCGGAAATCAGCAAAAGCCTGTCTGAAATACCTCCTTTCTCCGGAACTGGCAAACACGTACACCTTGCACACAACCAGAAGTAAATTTGGTATTAGTAAGTACAAATTTTACTCGACGGTTCAAAGTAAGTCCACTTTACTGTATTAACATATTTGTAGGTGCTTTGAGTTCACGTTTCAGAAGTGCAAGCTGCCAGGAAAGGGATATAATACACGCCATGGCTACAGCAAGCCAGGCCATCTTGCATGACGCAAGAGATAAAGTACATAAACGTGGATGGCGATCCAAAGAAAGGGTGAGCTAAAACCCTTTAAAATGTTTGTTATAATACATATGTTGAGTTTGTCCTACATTGTTCCTACTCCTTCCCTTTCTACTCTTTCCTGTATTGTTTTGGACTATTTATTAAAATTCAGTAATCAGTTGTATTCGCAATAACTGAAGTTCACTTTCGGGATTTCCACAAACTTCGCACGATGATAATTATCATTGCACAGTAAATATCGTAGTGCATCAGTTGAATATATCACAATGCCGTCAATAAAAGTAATCACCTATTACAAAGCTTTATATCAGTGACGTTATTATTCCATGGATGATCGTATCCTGAATTAATTAATTGTTGTATGTGTAAATTTAGAATGTAAGTCTGTAACAGCTTAGGTTGGTTGGTTAAGAGTTGACCCCAAACAACCAAGCATATACCAAAAGAGTATTGTTCAAGTATTCATTCACTTCCTTATTTTGTATAAGCGTTATATTCCCTATTATCTTATATTGAATGTTGAGAGCCTTTGTTTGTCTGAACAGATAATCCCACGCTCCACTGTGACTGCGCGAAGATCGAAATAAAGACCTATTCACTACTTGTCTGGTTTCTTCTATCAATAGCACCAGGGTTACCTTAAGGCACGAAAAGTCTTTATCTCCGCGCACCTTTTTAGAACATGTGCACTCAGTGTCTGAAATAAATGATAGGGTCTAAATATTCTGGTTATATGGTGTCAAAAGTTGAATTGTGACAGTTCAATTATGTTTAACTTGCCAGAAAAACCAATTGTGAATAGGGAGATCTGAATAAATAAGACTTGCATGGTTTCATGATAGTGGATGTAATCACATATAATGTGATTATGCCCAATGATTGAAGTTGACTTATTGGATTTTCAACGTTTTCCGATTATGAGTTTCATAATATAAGACATAGAATCCATTGGAGATATTATTAATTGTTCAGTCGAAATAATTTTAAAACGTTTCGCTTTTCAGTGGATTACGTTCGTGGGGCATACAAAATATATCCTTTTAATCAGAAAGAATATGAAGAAAAGGTGAGCACACACAAACAAGACTGCCATCTGCGTATTCTAAGTTGACAAGTGTACCTTCTGGTAGGAGATCGGATCTTAAAAATTCAGTCGACGAGAACGTTATTTTCAGCAGTAGGTCTATTATGAAATTAAACAGAAGTGGGATAGTAGGCAGCCTTGTCGGACACCACTTGAGGTTTCAAAATCAGGCGTAAGTTCGTCATAAGCTCTGACTCGGCTAGTGGTGTTCGAATAAAGAGCCTTCACAAGGTTTGTGAAGCTTCAAAAATGTCTATTTACTGAGTATATACAGGCTACATAATGTGAAAATAGACAAAGTCAAAACCTTATTTCAGGAAAGATGAACCAAAGATAAGTGTGGATTTATAGGAAATTGTCTATAGATTAATTACACTTACAATCAGTGACATAGGCGATGAGCTACAGAATTTATTTTTCCGGACGTTATTTCATTTATTTCGAAGTTCATAAAACGGTAACATTTATTTTCGTTTCTTGTCTGTTCTACAGATTATAAGCTTTGGACATAATTGTATTTTTTTAATTGTTATGTGGTCTGTTTACTCATCTTTTTACTCATGTAACTTTAAACACTAATCTGAAATCGGGAACGAGATCGAAATTGGTAATAAGTCGTGTAGTGTTCCGGTTGACCTGTCTTCTCTCACTTGCGTGCTTGTCAGTCAATCAGGTGATAAAAAAGTTTTTTTTCTCTCTACCTCGAGCAGTTGGTCTCACTTGAAACCCACGCATGCTAGTCTGAAAGTTAAGCCAGCCAGAATATTGCGTCAAGGTCTTAATCTAGATTAGAAAAGTTATCATCTGCACAAACGTGAGTAGACTGATAAAAGACACAACAGTGATAAATGTAGTCAGAATGACTCCTGACCGCTTAATAATCAGTGACATAAGTGAAGAGCTACACTGAACATGAGTGACTTGATTACATTTTATAATGCATCCCACTTCAGATGCTACTTGCTGATTCCTTCATATTTTACATTAACAATTACCCGTTCTGATTCATAATTCCTTTTCTTTAGAACGGTGGGATTACTGAAAGCGATTGTGAATGGCTACGGCTTCCGCTTCTAAAATTTCGTTGTTGTAGTAGGTTGCATATAAGGACATAGTACAGGAAGAAAGAATTAGTTGGTAGAAAGAAAGATATAAAGCAACTTTGATTTCACAGTTTAAGGGAAGACAACTAGTGTATACATCTACGCCATTGTGATCGATTCTGAGCCACGTCACACAGAGTATCCAAGAATTCGTTACGGTAGTCACGCGGACCCCAACCAAGTAGTCTGCATCTATCAACATGACTATGACTAGAAGTAATTAACTTCAAGCACTAATGGTTTGGCCGCCCCTACTCCTCTTACAACCATCCCCAACACCAGTGAGCATTGCGCGCCGTGGTAATCGGTGTTCGGGCATATGCAACACGTGGTCAAACCATCTCAGTCGATGAAGATTTGTAGAATTATGGGGTACTTCGTTATGAGTACTGCTCTATAATGGACCTAATCCTAAAATTTCAGATTCGTCATGATATAACGGACTAATCTATAAGATCTTACGTGGAAGTTACATCATCGTCTATACCAACTCATTCAATAGGGACCACACCTGCAAGGCCGAGCAACGCCATCCGATCAACTCGAATTAAATGTTCCCGCCTTCCTCATCGTTAGGTTTTCCTCCGCGTTAAGTGTTGAATATCTATTTTCCCAAGCGTTTCGTGTTTAGTTTTGAGGATTGTGTAGTTAGGGTCCAATGCCACTACAGATTCACGACCTCATCAAGTGATTTACCATCATTTCCTAATTCCCTGCGTCTAACCTTACTATTACTTACATGATGATCCCAGCAGATGCCAGCAATATTTCTAAGACATCTGCGATCAAATATAGTTAGCTTACTAGTATCTTCTACTTTTGATGACCACGTTTTGCGGAGCAGAGCGAGTTGCCTCGCACTATAGTCGTCCCTTAATTAACAGACGGATATCTCACCTTCGCTACAGGTGATGTAAGTTGTCAAAAGTATGTATTGAGATCATGTTTTTTAGAAATATTTCGGCACACACAAGGCAAAATAATGCTACTTAAAGGAGATACATAAGTAGGCAACAATCTCTTCACAGACCGAAAGCACTACGAATCTGTAAACCGTTATATTATTGCTTTGTAGATCACGAGTTTATGTGATCTGTGTAGAAGGACCCTGTCTATAAGATTTGGCAGGAACTGTCTGGTTAGGTCGACATTATAATCCACAGATAATACCTAACCTAGATTGGCCTCTCGTGGTACCTAGATAATTGTGCTCAACTGACAAGTGAACAGAAAAAGTATGAAGATTTTTAAAAAATATAAGAGTAGGTAAAAGACAGAATGAAACCATTGCTAATACTGGCCAGTTCATGACTGTAACAGTTATACGAGGCATACACAGTAGGGGTGGAAGACATAGCTTGAGACTCTTTAACATGCACAATGATTGAGAGTTACTATCACACCCAGAAACACAACCAGTCTAGTGTGAGTCCCAATTAATTACCAGCTACAACCCAGCAACATGATCAATCACTCCACACCGCAACTGCCACCTTCGTGCCAAAAGCTCTTCAAACACCGTCATAATAACGTGCAACTGATCAGTCTGTGTTAGTCATCCTTGACCCTGACTATCTCTACTAGATTATCAAACGGTCAATGACCGGCCGTTTAACATAGCCTGATAGATTATTTGGTCAAGGTTCACTGACATTTCACTCTCCTGAAGATGGCACAGGTATTCAGTGTTTGACAACGCTTTAACCAGTAACATCTAATATAACTCGTACTCACTAAGAGAAATCAAAAGACAGAATCGATGAGATCAGAAGTTGTATTTGACGATGGTCAATATATCGGAATTGTCTGATCTAATCTGGCTAGCGATTGCAGTAGATGTTGAGCACGGCGTTCCCACACGTGATCTGGTGCGGATGCATGACCGAGCGCCTTTAGCTAGGTGAGTCCATTAAGACCTGTGGTCAGCATCCAATGTCGAAAACTTACAGAGCTATTTACTTTGGAGATTTATTTACCGCTACACTCCCTACAAATTAGTGGCTCTACCAGAAGGAGCTTCATATTCTTAGCAACTGGAAAATAATCTTGATATTTCTGCTTATCAGAGAAGTAACGCGGTCACATACTATGACGAGGAAATTTTAGGACACAGAAGGTAGTTAGACCAAACACCAAAAAGAACAATTAGAATTCTTGGAGGAGAACCGACGATGAGCTTTAAGCTCTTGAAAAACTTGATTTATAATAAAATCTAACGTGCAGAGTTTTGTATAAACTGTAATATCAACATATCATTATTTGGTGTTTTTGTTCATCTTGATTCAAGCTACATGTGTTTCTAATGGTGTTTACCTGCGACACTTGGTTTTTGTAACACGATCCCGAGAGCAATTATTAACGCAACGTTAGCAACAGTAGGATTAAAACGACCTTGGTGTGAAAATCACTAAGTAAAAGGTGGTTGTATCAATATGTCTAATTGCGAGATTGCAGTTGGTTCGACGCTAATAAAGTAAAGAGCTTGTTGTCATCCCGTCTGAAGATTTACTCCAATGGTACTTCCAGCAATCTGGTCGAATTGCACTCTACAACAGTAAAATGTCTTCTAAGGTAATGTTAATCTTAATACACAAACTTTACCTTGTTACGTCTATTGTAAATAATTCATCAACCAGTTGAGTTTTAAGTACTGACAGTTCCTCGTTGAAAGGAACCCGAGCTGCCAACTTTGAGGAAATTTTGGGGATTTCCCCAGGTTTGGGGAACTTTTTGGGTTTGCGTCTCATTTCCCCAAAATTTACTATAGCGGCTTCCCCAAAGTGGGCCAAATTTTCCCCAAGATTGGCAGCTTGGAAATATACTCTAATTAAAATATATTACTTAAATTTTATGGGCTTTGGCAAAAATTGTTTGAAATATGTGGAATTTTCGGGGAAGATTAAAACTTTTAGGGAGTTTCCTAGCTAAACAGAGACGTGTTTATATCAATATCTCCATAAAGTTTACTTTAAATTCATTAATTATGTGTAAACGCTGGAAAATTAGGCTTTCTTTAAACAAGAAAAAGAGTGGTGATCAAATATTGACTTATGAGAGGTTTCAGATTGTCGGCGTGCTTACACCGAACAATAGTCGATTCCACAGCATTTTGTGGGAGGTCGCCGTTAACATATGTGCTAAGGAGCTATGTAAAATTTACAGAGGCTGTTTACTCAAACACAACTAAAGCCAATGCTTGCAGCATGCATTCCGAATAATCGATGACTTTACTCAACTCGTTTTACCTGCGGCATAGATTACATGCTCGTCATCAAACCAAGGGGCTAGTATAGCACACAGTAACCAAATATTGTGCTTTATAGTTGAGTGACGTAGCTTTTAGAAACACAGAACGTTTATGAGAAACGAAACAATCGACTAAGCGATCCTAAATCTGGATGTACCACCGTATAAGAATAGCAATAGGACTTCGTTATGGGATGCATATTACATATGCTTGGCCACTGGCTACCTTGTTGTGTTATCACTATCATTTCTGATGGTGAGCCATACATTACTGATTCTTAAGATGCCATGGATATTCAGAATTAGACAACGCCTTTGTTCGTAACACCTTTATAACCGAACGATCTCAAACCCAATCACACTGGAAGTCAATAGTGAAGTAGTTCGAGGATATTTTTGGGAGGTATTTGATATTTTGAGAAGTTTGTGATCCAAGCTGACTAGTTGTTACGATAGATACGTAGCACAACTTTCCCACTGATGGTCTGGTGTGGATGCCTGACCAAGTGTTTTTAGCTTGGATGTGTCTATTAAAACTGAAGTCAACATCGAAGACTCATGGGACTATTTATTTTGAGGATTCATTTACCGCTACAATTTCAGCTGCGAGAAAGTTTGTGTACGTTTTTGTGCAAGCTTTTTCATGTTTTTATCGGAATTGTTACATTCACAGCACTGTACTGATGGGTCGAAACTTGAAATGGTTAACATTTGTACTACGTATGTATTTGCTTATGATTCGCTAAGTGAGATTAGTTTAAAAGACATTTATGCTCTCCCGTGTTTTTGTTCATGTCATGCACGATCAGCATACATATCATTTAAGAAACTTATTAGGAACTTTATACTTTTGACAATATTTTGATAGTTATTGTTTCTGGTTATCAAAACGTCAGTTGATATATGTTAGCTTTTCATTTACCTTGAAAAACATCCTGGCATAGTTTAGTAAAATGTCAATATTGTCATTTACAGCTTGAAACTCTGTGTTTGAGATTGAAGAAGCAATATTTTGTAGAATGATCGGAAGCGCAAACCAGATAACAAAGTGATCTGTTTTAAACTATGCAAAGCGGTTATATAAAAATGACCTGCGAGTAAGATCTGTATGTGATAATAGAGCGAAGTTCAGTCCTGTAGAATTAGATTTAGCAACAGTCAAATAGTATAGAAAAGATTAGATATAGAAGATGCGATTCCAGATCAAAATAAGAATTTGCGCAATTATTATACAAAATAATAAAATGATTTGAAAACTTAGGATCTACTACCGACTCTAGACCGTGTCATCCTACATAGCCAACTACTGGTTACGATGACAGCACAGGATCTTACCAAGTAGTGTATGACTTTTAACGTGGCTCAATTCAACAGTGACTTTGTTGACTGATATTATATCTTGTTTTTGCTGTCCATATCCTTTTATCAACCTACTCCTTCGCCAGATAACATCATTCATCAAGGTGTGGAGTGGTTAGCAGTATGTAATACGTGTCCCAACAACCAAAGTCAATAAAGATTCTCTACATCATTTATAGGTTTGCCATCCTGATTTGGCACGCCGCCCCAAATTTCAACAATACTCACTGGTCCAAATATACACGGGTAATGCTTCGGGAAATGTGTGAGTTTATGCAACAAATCAAAGATCCTACAATGGTTGGTATGCTCCTCTTCCAGTTCTAATATAATTAGACATTCTATTATAATTTTGCTTTCTAAATTAAGCACTATGAACCAAAGAGCTCTGGGTAACAAAGCTTCATGAATACTTGAATCTGTATTGTATGAACATTCAATATGGATCGTATTTTACAGAAATCACCAATAATTTAATTTAATTCAAGCATACCTTACCAAATGTCATCAATAATCCTGAAGGTTAGGTTCTGTGGATTAGCATTTTGCATGAATAATTTATATATGGGAATAGATAATATTAGGGTGTTTCATTAATACAGAAATTAGGTTATTTATTCACTACTGATGTGCTGATGGAACTTATAATCTTTAGTTGACTAAGATTTATACAGTACTTATGTAAGAAAATAATGAATTATGACCTAAACCACTCCGTTGCTGAACATTCTAATTTTATAATACAGATTGTTCAAGATGCAGTTCATGGTGTAATAGAGCTGGAGTCACTAGCTGTTCAGTTGATCGATTCTCCTGAATTCCAGCGTCTTCGAGAAATAAAGCAATTAGGTATTGCTTATTTTGTTTTTCCAAGTTGTCAACATTCGCGATTTGAACATTCGATTGGTACTTATCATATGGCCAAAAAGCTGCTTGAGACTATCCACAATGATAAAAATTACTCGGGTCCAGCTTTGAGCTCCTCAGAACAGTTAGCCATTAGAATCGCTGCCTTGTGCCATGATTTAGGTGAGTCGACACACGACATAATTTCTGAGTGTTTTAAATTTCCACCAACAATATGATCATTTTGTTACAATAGGCACCGAAAATCCATCACACTAGGTGAGGTGATAACGTTCTGAAATGCGAAATGGTGTTTATTGAGGGATACATGTCTATTCGTAATCGGCCTTTAAGAACCAATGAGGTTAAACTTATGAAAAGTAGTCAAAACATCTAGTTTGCTTACCAATAGTCACACTAGACATTTACGCAGAGCACTTCTAAATCAAAATTTTACGGTTAGAAGCAGTCCTACTCATCCGACACTTTTCCGGTCACTTCAGACACTTAGAAGACTTCGAAAATCCGTTTGACAGGATTATATGAAGGGCTTAAAAGCGAACCGGTAGTTATAGAAGCGAATTCGAGATAAATAAATCTCATAAAAGCAGGTTTTTTAGTTTTCAGTTAATAATTCTGAAATTTAAGACGTTTGATAACATTTTATATTCATTTCAAAAATGATCATTATGAGTCGAAACATGCTACGGGATAGTGGAAATATGAGGAGAACTAGAGATTTGTTTGACTTTTAGTTAAAATTACTCACAGGTCCAACTACCTTGTTTATATTATTTTGGTAATTTTTTTCAGAAGACTTCACCGAAATGTACGAGTTCGTTGCGGTTTATATCATTTACTTTAGAGTTTTTCGAATGTTTTCTTCCAGTTTATAAAACTACTCTCAACAATATATACAGTATTCAGTTAGTTAGTCAGTCGTAATCAAAGTGGGACATTACATAACATACATTGATTCAAGGTCCCACACCTTATCGGCTCAGTAGAATGAAATCATCAAGTTGAGTATCAAAGTAGTATCATTAGTAGTATTATCAGTGATGGTGAAAAAGATTAAGGATAAAGAATGTTTGCGACATAATTTGATATTTCATTCATGAATAATGAAGCGTTGCAACGAGTAGTTTCTCGTCGTTGTAGCGCTTCAGTTTGTCCGAACGATACAAAAATTAGCTTGTAACACGAGATGGGGGGATAGTGGTACAATGAGTGTAATAATATTAAAGAAGTACCTCTATAACTTAAATAAGCATTGACGTACATTTTCAGATAATTCTATACTATAATCCCATACTGAACAGAAAAGTGACTTTAAAACAGTCATTGAAGCAAATAGCACACTTTAGAAATATGAAGTCAAGAAAAAAACTTTTATTGTGAAATCCTATTAGCTGATGGTACGAATCACAGATCACTTAAATCCAATTTTCACTATTACAGTTGAAAATATCCAGCTTCAGTTGATTCCTCAGAAAAGTTTTTGTGCTGTAATAATAAAATAGGTGTCGGAATTCGTTATATTTCAATGACGATTGTGTTTGTCGCATCTTTTCTTTTTATGGAGATTAATTCATAGTTAGTGAAAACGAATTACTTGAAAATCAAAAACTTTGTAGACAAACGAATAATAACTATAAACCATTGCATGGACTTTTGTTTTTTATTTCAAAACAGGTCATGGACCTTTTTCTCATTTATGGGAAGAGTTCGTCAAAAGGGGCGGGTCAGAATATAGTGAATATAACGTAAGTGAATTAAGTTTGATAATAACTGCAGAAAAATTACCACTGAGAGATCCGTGCTTGATTTTTACACTACTTTTACATTTCTGAGATTCGTTTTGCTAATTTCATCTCGATACTCTAGTGTATTGCGGTGATTTGAGGTAATTTACATGTTCCAGGTTCTACATAATAAATAACTGACTTATTGGTCTGGTCTTTCAAACTATTTAGTTTGAAAAATCAGCTAACTACAGAGGAGTGTAAATAAATCTGATAGATCTGTGACGTATTATCAAGACATTGAGAAAATTGTTTAGGTTTCTAGTCCTTATTGCCAAACTTATTCTTTACTAATTCTTAAGATTTTAATTTAGACTACCTTGGAGGCTTTCATTTTACTAACGTAGAATTGCTTTCGAAAGAAGCCAAAGGATTTGAAACGAAACAACTTCAGTTCGTGTAATGTATTCTGAGTATGTTGACTTACTGAAACCACCCAACTGATAATTATGCTTTCTAGAAATCAATAATTCAAGATCACTGTTAATTTGAACAAATGTTGATTAAAATTGTACCGAAATATTTACTGTTGATGTTAGTCTGAGCTTTTCCTAAATATGATTCATGCCTAGTGTTTTACGTCTATTATTCACTATAGCATCGTTTATTTGGAAAACTTGTCATTCCACAGATATCTAATGCTAACATTAGTCATTTAGATGCGAAAATAAGTCAGGGTCATCCATATATCATACCATCAAGTTTGTTTATAAAACTGATGATTGTAAAAGACATATATCAAACACCTAATCTTAAAAAGAAATGACCACGTGATTTAGTATCCAACGTACTTTTACAGACACTAGACTTAATTGCTTACTGCGCCTTTTAGTCCTAATGGAGCATAGGCCGCCGACCAGCATTCTCCAACCCACTCTGTCCTGGGCCTTCCTTTCCAGTTCCATCCAATTTTTGTTCATTTTTCTCATATCTGTCTCCATTTACCGACGTAATGTGTTCTTTAGTCTTCCTCTTTTCCTTTGGCCTTGAGGATTCCATGTGGGGGCTTGCCATGTGACGCATTTGGGTGCTTTCCTCAATGTGTGTTCTATCCACTTCCAGCGCTTCTTTCTAACCTCTTCCTCCGATGGGATCTGGTTTGTTCTTTCCCACAGTTGGTTGTTGCTAACAGTGTCCGGCCAACGGATCTGAAGTATTTTGCATAGACAACTGTTAATAAACACCTGTATGTTCTGGATGATGGCTTTCGTTGTTCTCCAGGTTTCCGCCCCATACAGTAGAACTGTCTTGACATTTGTATTGAAAATTCTGACCTTGGTGTTGGTTGACAGTTACTTTGAGTTCCAGATGTTCTTCAATTGTAAATATGTTGCTCTTGCTTTATCGATTCTCACCTTCATATCTTCATCAGATCCACCGTGTTCATCAATTATGCTGCCCAAATATGTAAAGGTATTTACATCTTCCAAATCTTCTCCGTCAATTGAGACTGGATTGGTGCATGCTGTATTGTATCGGAGAATCTTGCTTTTCCCTTTGTGTATATTGAAACCTACTGCTGCTGAGGCTGCTGCTACACTGGTCGTTTTCTCTTGCATTTGTTGTTGCGTTTGGGATAGAAGGCCCAGATCATCTGCGAAGTCTAGATCGTCCAACTGCATCCTAGATGTCCATTGTATCCCGTGTTTCCCTTCAGATGTTGACGTCTTGATGATCCAGTCGATCACCAGGAGGAAGAGAAAGGGTGAGAGTAAGCAACCTTGCCTAACACCGGTCTTCACTTCAAACGACTTTGTCAACTGTCCTCCATGAACGATTTTGCAGTGTAATCCATCATATGAACTCTGTATGATATTGACTATCTTCTGAGGCATGCCCTAGTGTCGAAGAAGCTTCCATAGTAATGTTCTGTCCACGCTATCAAATGCTTTTTCGTAGTGAATGAAGTTGATGCGAAGTGAATTCCATTCAATTGATTGTTCCACAATCATCCGTAGAGTTGCGATTTGGTCTGTACACGATCGATCCGTACGGAATTCAGCCTGTTGGTCCCGAAGTTGGGCATCTACGGAGTCCTTTATTCTATTTAACAATACCCTGTTGAAGACTTTTCCTGGTATTGAGAGAAGAGTGATGCCTCTGTAGTTATCACACTTGCTGAGATCGCCTTTCCTTGATATTTTGATCAGAAGTCCTTCTTTCCAGTCTTTTGGTACTTGTTCTTCATCCCAAATCTTGCTGAAGTGAATATGGAGTATCCTTGCAGTTACTGCTACATCTGCTTTCAGTGCCTCTGCTGGAATGTTGTCTGGTCTTGCAGCTTTGTCGCTATTTATCTAGTGGCTATGCTGATCTCTTCAGTTGTTGGTGGGCCAACATTGATTGGGAGGTCCGTGGGCGCTTCTTTTATGTTGGGTGGGTTCAGTGGAGCTGGTCGATTCAAGAGTTCTTCGAAGTGTTTTACCCACCTGTGGCGTAAAATCTGTACTTAAAAAAATAAGCACTTGGTACACTTAACATTGTAATTTTCACTCTGTGATGACAATTAATCTTTACAAGCAATTTTAAACATCCTCAGAATCATATAAAGGTATTTCTACTCTAAATTTTTTGTAATGAAAAGCAAAAGTCATTGAAATAAGTTTCTCCAAAACCCGAATAGATATTTGTCGATTCTGACTGGCTAAGTAATGAGCAGTCAGTCGTCTCAAGCCAACCGAAATATGAGACGTTTGATGTTATCACCACTACTACTTCAAATGAATTGCAGCTGTAAGTCCGTAAAATGATAGTGACAATAAGAAATGCAGGTGGGATTTCTTTCAAATTAATTTAAGGCCAAATACTGACGAACAAACTCGGTGAGGGTGGTGTTGTGTAGATGGCACATAGTGGTGATTGGTTGACGTCCTAAATGGCTGGATAGATAGATATGTTTGACTTGTAATCCCGATCGAAGCTGCTACCTTGACGCGGTGGTCGGGCTTGCCTATCGTGATGACCCAACCGAGCTATATTGGCTGGAACATATGTTCCTGCAGGTTCTACCATGCCAGGCAGGTCGATTGGAGAACGGTAAGACTAAAAGCAGCAACTCAAGGTCTGAGGGCGAAGTCGTACTGCTGACTGTAGAGAGGTGTGACAGCAGTAAGGTGTTTCCCTCGGACAACCAGCATGACAGCGATGCTGCCTTCCCACAAGGAAGGGTGGGGTTAGAAAAGGTCGACCCTAAAAATGCACACCTCACCTTACCTCACGGATTTCCGTCTCCGGCGGTAAGGCCCCTTGAAGAACGGAGCTAACACGTCAAAAACCTTCCACAAAAAGGCCGTGCGCGACCGGCCTCAAGCAGTTGTCCCTTGGGCTCTGCGGTCACGCTCCCAGGTCGTCAAGACCAACACTAATCCAATTTCATTTTCAGGTTCCTCAAGAAATACCCTTCCACGGTGTGGGCAGCCGGGAAGTGACATCAGCCCTCATACCCGTAACAGCACAAGAGACCAAGGTGGTCACATTCAAATCCTTCCTACACCTCCTAATACCTCTCTTATCCTCCCGACTAACCCTCCTCACGTCTCTTTATCACCTCGCACCGCTAGGGCAAACGATTTGAGAACGTGGAACGTTATTCCTGGTCTCCTGAAACCACGCTCTAAACTACACGTAGGAGCTTTTAACGTACGAACACTTTGCCAAATAGGACAGCAGGCTTCCTTAGCTAAAACTTTAGAATCTCGCGCCATCGATGTGTGCTGCGTCTCCGAAACGCGCATACAGGATCCAAGTAGCGTCATTCATTTGACCTCACCATGCCAAAATAAAGAACCGACTCGATTTACGCTTCGTGTATCTGGAAGCCCTGATTCTGCTTCCCGTGGCCTCGCCGGCGTAGGTATAGCATTGAGTCCTAGGGCAGAACTAGCTCTCTTAGAGTGGATCCCAGTAAACAGTCGTTTGTGCGCTGTCCGACTGAACGGAACAGTAAGAATCCGGAAAGATAGGGACACTCGTCGTTGCCTCTTCGTCGTCTCTGCCTATTCTCCCACTGACTGCAGCTCAGATGATGTAAAAGATGAGTTTTACAGAAAGCTTTCGGACCTTCTCCGAAAAGCTAAGCGCTCGGATGTAGTAATAGTGGCCGGTGACTTTAATGCTCAAGTAGGTAAACTAAGCGATAAGGAAAGACACCTAGGTGGATCCTATGGTGTCGTGGCTCAAAGAACAGATAATGGCGACCGTCTGTTGCATCTATGCTCAGATAACCGCCTGTTCCTTGCAAATACTAACTTTAGGCATAAGGAGAAACATCTTTTAACATGGCGACCCCCTAATTCGTCCCAACGTTGGACCCAAATAGATCACATCGCTATCAGCCACCGATGGAGGGGCTCGATAGAAGACTGTCGCTCATTCTGGAGCACATGCCTAGATTCAGATCATGCTCTAGTGCGAGCGCGTATTTGCTTGCGTCTTACTGGACGTAGGAAAGATCCTGCAAGGAAACCTCTTAGGGCCCTACTTAATGATAGTCAAGCTAAGAATATATTTCAGGAACAACTAGGAAAACAGTTAGGCAGCCATGTATGTGATGCCCACCCCGAGGCAGCATTGAACGATATCCGAAAAGCTGTGGAAACAGCAGTGATATCTGCTAGTAAGGTAAACCGTAAAATTAGGGAGCAACACTGGATCTCAGCAGCATCTATCGCACTGATAGATGCTCGAAAACTCATTCCACCTGGCTCTGAACATAATGAAGAGCGGAGTCAGCTTAAGCGCAAGCTGACAAGAAGTCTACGCAATGATCGCGAACAGTGGTGGGTAGCGAAAGCAAGAGAGATGGAAAAGGCAGCGGCAATAGGTAATAGCAGACAACTGTTTAGACTCGTTAAGGAAACCGGAATTAGGAACCCGACCGTTAGCGAAACAATCTCAGAGAAAGATGGACATATTATTCATTCTCAATCCAGGAGATTGGATCGATGGGCAGAACACTTTAGGGATCAGTTCAACTGGCCTTCAGCCACACTTCGGTTTCCCACGATCTCCAGTCAACCTGAATGGCAAGTTAATGTAAGTCCTCCGTCCCTTTACGAAGTTGAAAAAGCCATAGGAAATCTGAAGCGAGGGAGAGCAGCAGGCCCTGACAGGTTTACTCCTGAGATTTTTAAGGATGGTGGTCCAGTATTAGCAATGAGATTAACTGAGGTCTTAGGTAGAATCTGGGAACTGGACGTAATCCCATCTGACTGGTCTCAATCACTGATTGTGCCAGTTTTTAAGAAAGGACAAAAGTCCTCTTGTGACAATCACAGAGGAATCAGTTTGACTAATATAGTGTCTAAAATATTAGCTTCAATAATACTTCGACGCCTAACTAAAGCTCGTGAAGAGCAGACTAGAGAAAACCAGGCTGGTTTTCGACCTGGACGTGGTTGTATAGATCAGATATTCACACTACGTCAGGTTCTAGAACACAGACACACATTCAGACGCCCCACAATGGTAGTACTTCTCGACCTTAAGGCGGCATTCGACTCTATTGATCGTGAGGTTCTATGGCAGTGTGTGTCACTGAAAGGAGTACCAAAGAAGTACATTAACCTTATAAAGGCTCTCTACTCGAACACAACTGGTAGAGTGAGAGCTTATGGCGAACTGTCATCAGAATTGATCACCTCAAGTGGTGTTCGTCAGGGCTGTCCACTCTCCCCATTCTTGTTCAACTTTGTCATTGACGTACTTTTAGAGATAACACTCTCCTCATCTAAATATACAGGGGTTGAACTTCTACCAGGAGGTTCACTTGTTGACTTAGAATATGCTGATGACATAGTTTTATTTGGTGAAGACGCTGACAAAATGCAGAGTCTTCTGACCACTCTAAGCAACAATGCAAGCATGTTCGGGATGCGATTCTCTCCCTCGAAATGCAAAATGTTGCTTCAGGATTGGGTTACATCGACACCCGAACTAGTGATAGGGAGTGAAGTAGTTGAGTGTGTCGACCGCTTCACTTATCTTGGAAGTCTCATCAGCCCTTGTGGTTTAGTGTGTGACGAAATCTCAGCACGGATACGGAAGGCTCGACTAGCTTTTGCCAACTTGCGTCATTTATGGCGTAGGCGAGATATCCGTCTATCAACCAAAGGACGTGTTTACTGCGCAGTAGTTCGTTCCGTCCTACTTTATGGCAGTGAAACATGGCCGGTAAGAGTAGAGGATATCCGTAGGTTACTAGTATTTGATCATAGGTGTCTTCGAAACATTGCTCGTATATCATGGGACCGTCGAGTAAGTAACACAGTTGTTAGGAAACGGGTACTAGGTAAGGATGGCAAATCAATTGATGAAGTAGTGAAACTTCATCAGTTGAGATGGCTGGGACACGTGTTACGTATGCCCAACGACCGACTGCCTTGACGTGCTATGTTCAGTGGTATAGGAGTAGATTGGAAGAAAGCTAGGGGCGGCCAAACCAAAACATGGCAGAAGTCCATGAAGTCACTGACAAATGAACTGAGTCATGTTGGTAGGTGTAGACTACCTGGTTGGGGACCGCGAGATGACAGCAACCGATGGTTAGAGACCCTGAATGACATGGCTCAAAATCGTTTGCAATGGCGCAGGTGCATCCACTCTCTGTGTTCTCCCAAATTCTAATCTTCTGAATTCTTCATGTCCCTTTTTTCCTCTTTCCAAATTTCTTTCACTGGATTATACTCTTTAAATAACATCTCCAAACCCTAATCTTCCAGATTACTGCTTATACTCTTATTACCTCTACCACTACGGGATTTGAATCGACAAGTGCATCTCTGTGCTAATGTGGTGTGGCAACTCGAACTGATGTACGTACGTACGAAGTTCTACGTTGTTACTGACTGACTGACTGACTGTAATACATATTCACCCTATCCCCTGCACTTACCGTAACATAATATATGATAATAGTAATACATACTTTGTTCGTCTGTTCAGTGTTTTCATTAGATCATTGGTTGTTTTGTGGCTAGTTGGTACATTGTGATGACTATAATGCCAAACAAATAATATACTCCTACCGCAGTGGGATCGGTATTTACCTAGATCAAGCGAACATCGAAAAGGCATTGGCGCATATGGGAGATTCTGTACATACTTTAAAAATGTCGCAGTTTTAACCCTACCCTATACATATTAATTCAGGTTAACTTCTCCAGTTTTTTTTTATTTCGCATCTGTATAGCATGAAACAATTAGTGGGCATGTACTTTATCAAATTATTTGTTCAAAACCTACCCTACAAAGTGAATTAAATAATCTTGGCGTTGATATGAATCTCATACGCAGTCTGATACTAGGTGATACTAATACTGTATTATCACAACAGGTAATGCCTTAGAAATCATTCTGAATAATTTATTTAATATACTCAATTAGTCGTGATGCAATATCTTGTAGATTTCGTTATAAATTATAATGTTTCTTTAATTAGATAAATTTCATTTAGCCTGAAGATAGTATCTATGATGACAACAATTTACTCTAAGAAACCATTGAAAGGTTATAAGAATTGACTGTTCTTGGAATCGAATCCAATGATTTTAGGTTTTATATAAATTAGGTTAAACGTTAACTACTAAATTGAAGTTTACTTTCATCTTAGTGATGATTACTCTTTGGAACTAGCTAGCTTACTCCTGCATCAACTTCGATAAGAACATTTTGTCTATGTCAAGTTGTGTTGACCATAGCCAATACGAAGCCCTATATGAACCTTTCATGCCAGGTGAAACTTGTTAGCATAATGTTGAGTAAACTGATTATGCTATTCGCATGAGCTAATGATTCTCTTGTACTTGATTACCCGATGATTACGAATTCCAAATACAATACGCTCGTTTGTGCTAATCTAGTTCTGTCTGGCTTCAATCGCACTGTCAAGGTAATTCCTAGTTAGTACAATAATCTGAATACTTCTAGTTATCGTACCGATGTTCCTCGTAAGATTCAAACCCACACTACCGATTGTCACAGTCAGAGAGGTTATCAGTGTCGTACTAGAATTGTGATTGACCACCTACAGGACTGAGATTTTTATGATAATTGACTACCGATTCGTAACTGTCATCCTTTAATTGACAGACGTAGATCTGACAAAAATCACTAGTTTCCCCAAGATGGCAGATACGACTTAATGATAGGTGAAAAGTGGTACGAAATCTAATCTCAAGATTTCCTGCAAATTTCCTCCTCCAACCTACTATCAGAACAGTACATATGATCTCGAGACACTTAAAGTAGGAGTCACATCCCAACCTGGTTGATAGAATTCTATCAACAATAAACAGAATAGTAACGACATTAGTTTCCACCCAGAAATCAGATATTGGATATATATATATATATATATATATATATATATATATATATATATATATATATATATATATATATATATATATATATATATATATATATATATATATATATAGTGGCTGGTACTATGTCAAGCCCACATGGGCCATTCTAGCTCATGGACAGACCAATTTATTCATTTTGACCTTGGCAGTTATTCGCTTGACTTTTTTAATATGATCGTATACATTTTAATTGCTCATTCTATTTATTACGTGTCTGTAATTTACTTTTATCTGAATATAAATGTTGAGTCACACTTGGTCAAAGCAAGTTGGCTCACTCGTTTTCTCTGCTCCACTTCGTTTATCTGATTGTCTGTTCAGATCAACGAGTGTATGAAATATACTTATTCAAAAATTCATTCTCATATTTGACTTATTTAATACCGTTATTCACTAACGCTATTTCGATCGATAATTATGTACGAAGTTATCTGAGATGTATATTTCTATGACAATGGGCACACGATTTAACTGGAGTCATATATATATAACCAGAATAATCGTTTCATGTTTTTTCATAATTATCACTTTAGAAATAACTATCTGGATTTAATATGTTATATTCCATTTTCTCTAATTTGAACTTCTCACAGGATTCATTGAAGAATAAATCATTTATTTATGAGGTAAGTTATTTTTAAGTTTTAGAAACATCTTTGAAAGCTGTAATAAATTTTGTCATCCTATTATGTTAATATCATTTCAAAGATGCTTCTGAATACAATATAAGTGTGGTCATGCGATACTTACGATTGAATGATCTGAACTTTCTTATTATTATGAACAAATATTGAATAAGTAGGTTTTGGCGAATTACAATTTTAAATTAGTTATTAGTACTTATTATGATTATTAAATTTTACTTTGTCTTAATAAATTCAGATTCTCTCCAATAGTTTAAATGGTATGGATGTTGACAAATGGGATTATCTACTCCGAGATTGTCTGCATTCTGGTTTGGGAGCTAGTGGGACTAGTGTGGATATTGATAGATTTTTAAGATTTTACCGACCATTTCTACATACTGATAAAGACAAAGGTGACGAGAATGAATCAAAATGTTGGCATTTATCATTTAGAGATACAGAATTGGAAAATTTGCTTCGAACATTCAGTTTACGACAGCATCTTCATCAAAAAGTTTATCAACATAAAACAGTGACAGCTATTTCTGTAAGTTAGTCTGCTTCTCTGTTATTTCAGATACTAAAAAAGGATTATTATTTCGTCTTTCAAATACATGCAGTTTTTTTAATGGTTTAAGCCAAAGTGTAGGAAAGAAGGGCAATGGTGTGTGCATACTAAATACTCCACGGTTTTCACCATAGATGAAATGGTGAAAATACAGCATAAGACATTATTTTACCATTCAACAAACCCAAACCAATGTTGATTTAAGATGATGCTACTAATTTTGGGATTTTTTATACACATAGTTCCCTTTATCATTTTAAAAAGAGCAAAAACAAAGACTCTAGCAGAATAGCATGAATTCATTTTATTTCGTAGGTTCTCGTCAGCTGCTTACAACCTGTGATATTTAAAAATCATAATTGCAATTATGCAATCTAAGTTTGGGATTTTGAAACTCTTAGAAATGCTAGAATTATTAACTAGTTTAAAATTTGTCTAAATTAGAAGTAATGTCGACTCAGTGTGAGTGAATAGTTTCTGGGATTCACCAAAACCGTGATGAAGTTTTTAAAAAACACTTTGGACTTTATTTTGCTCTGACAACAGTTCAAAAGATAGATTCAGTATTGTTTAATTGTATAGATCCAACATCCCACTTACTGAATAGTTTCATTTATCTTTATACAATGTTTTTTTAAATTTGAAATTCAGAGTAGTTCTGTATTTCAATGAGTTCCTTTTTTAATACTTGTGGTTTTGAAAAACTTTTTATTGGGAGGTGATCTACATAGCTAAATCATTTTACTTTAAATCAGAAACCTCTTTATAGCCTTCCTTTGCCCACGTACACGATTAGGCATTAATATTTTGCAAAACTCCTCTCACAGTGAAATTAAAAATATACTGAGATAATTATGACTTTGTGAACGAGTGGCTTAATAAAATTAATCATAAATTTGCTACATTTCAGTGCGTTGTTCAAACTATGATAAGGAAAGCTGAATATTACTGAATGGTATCGAAGTATATCATTCGAAGACATATTCACTCATATGGAACTTATTTGTTGAGTTCAGAGTATGCAAACATTAAATTTTTAAAAGGTTTCAAGAAATTGTAAACTCACCATCTCAGACATTCCAAACTTTGGATTCCTATATTCGACTATTGTTTTATTCCCTTTTTTGTAGGCTATGATTATTGATGCTCTTGAATTAATAGAACCTGTACTTAATCTTCGATCCATTAGCATGAACGCATTAAAATATCAGAATCCAGATAGTTTGAATGATTTTCTTAAACTCCATGATTCACTTTTGTGGGATGTTTTTTATGGACGAGGATCATTATCAAGAGTTACTTCGGAAAATTTCCTTCCTCGAATTCAACAGGCACAGTCTCTAATACGTCGTATTTTAAATCGAGATCTGTATACCTATATTGATAGTGTATATGAAATGACATACTATGCACCAATTGGTGAAAATAACAGTCACCCACATTCTTTCAATCCCAAAAAGTTCCCTAATTTAATCAATGAAGTAGCAACTGAATCATTAACATTACGATCGATGGGGTTAGGACTAGGTCCCAGAAAAAGTCTATGCTATGAACCAATTTCACCTCATTACAGGACATTCGGGGTGACGTCAAATAATAAAGTTAGTTACATTTTATAGTAATTTTTGTATCATACCTTAATTATTGGACCTTTTTAGTTCACTGAGTCTTGTGGATAGATATAATCCTGTACTTGTGCACATTAGTGATCGATCCATAATTTGTTTGTTTAACAGCATTTCACAAATATTTGATAATATATTTTCACCTACTATAATAACATTACACCACCAGACTATACACCGTCATATGACCATGTTTTTTAGGTTTTGAAAAGTCAAAGTTGTGAATTTTTGTTTCGGTCTGAAACGTCATCAACCTCATGAAACGACAAGCACCATCTTACTAGTTTCGTATTAATAAAACGGTAAGCACAAAACCTAATTATATATATATGCAAGTACTATGTAATCATATCTCAACTAACTTGAAATATGCATAAAATTAAACTTGAAATTTTCTTACTCCGACGCAATGAATGACCGATGTCACATAGACTATTCAGTCTGGTGACTTTGGGTCCAATGAGCTCGTCACCGACCAAGAACTCCTTGACGATCAAAAAATGAATGACGTTAACATGTCGGTGAAAGTGAACGGTGGATGGTTAATAATTGCATATAGACAGGTATGTATGAAGCGTAATACAGATTTTACTCAGCCCTTCGTAACTGTCGTAACTTTATATACGTTGATCCAACCCTATATCGTGTTCTCAATCGGAGTTGGTGTAACTTGTGAGAGATAAGTCTTACGCCTGGGTATCTAGTATAGTGCATGAAAATCCTGTACATTACAGAATCGTTCGTCCTAGGAAAATAAATCACATCAGCCTTCCTAGGACATTCCAAAAACACGTCAAACCATTTCTAACTTCAGTCTCTATTGTTAGTAACAATAAGAAGTGACTTATCCTTCTGTTTGACGATCTCAAAATGGATAATCACATTTGTCTTGACATTTCCAGAACATAAACTCTTAAAAATATTTAACAAATTTTTTATCTTATGTATTCGATACTTGTCAAATACTAATCTCTATGTTACCAGTCCACTTATGTCTTAATTCACTGATGAATCTAAATTATGCTAATTAAAATAGTTATTAAAAAATTACAGACCAACTATATCTTTCTGAGACCCATTTTAAAGACATTTATCTTCACAATAGTTCATATATCAGGAATTAGTTCGAACAGCAGGCAGTACGGCATAAATTTTTGCATTGATTCATCTCTATTAATTTCCTATCTTCCTCAAAATCGTTGGTTAATTTTCATTGTTTGATCTTATCTATACCTTTCAAGCTGCTTTTCTCACATTTTTTTCCATAATTAAATTATATAACGGATAGCATGGAATATTTTCCCTCTCTCTTCCTCAAGTATACTACGATAACACGTTATATCAGATCCAGGATTTCCGACCCAGAATAGAGAACCAGAGTATAGATTAGATAATACTTTGTTCAGCACAGTTACAAAGCAGTTGTTCTCAGTGATAGGAGGGGAAATCACTTATTTAATAGTTTGTGGGCTAAGTGACTAAATATATTTACGTTCACTACTACATAATTAAAATTAGTTCCTCTGCTTCACATGTCGCCTTGGAAATTCCCCTTATTGTTGTTCTGCTGGGAATAACAGTATTTCGGACTGATACAAATTCATCCGAGACCCCTACATTGATGATAAATGAATCGAGAAATCTAAATGTTATTTTTACCTTCCCTATTGTTTTATTTTATCGGTGTGGAAAATGAATAAGAGTCAGTAGAACTGTTCAATAGTGTTTGACCACTTTGTAAATACCAACGTTTTACCCTGAACTTGTTATTGGAGCTCTGGTTTTGATATCTTTCGAAGTCTTCTAATGGATGATCTCCTTTGTTCTGATCAATCAAGATGATAAATCTCTCTTCTAAAAACTTCTGCAAATTATCTCGTCATTTTTCCATTAATTTGATCCATTTTAATTTATTTACTGATGATAATCTAGTACAACAATCTAATTATCATATATGTTAATCATACTTAGGAAAGTATCTTTCTCTGAAAATGACCTTACGAGTGGATAAAAAAGCGGATAGTAATTAAGCTTGATTAATGTGATGAGTGGCTACACTATATTGTCTATAATTTACATAGACAATTTTGTCAGTTAGGTGTCTTAACAATGGATAACTCGTGATCTCATTAGCTAAATCTAATTCACTCAATACCTCGCTAAGAAACTTATTAGTTGGATTTTACCTTTCATTCATTGACGTATTTATCTACCAAATTGTATAGTATTCATTATTGGGACTCATGATGTCTTTTATAGCTTAGGATGTTGTTTATTTAAATTCAGAAGTCTCGTGAGAGTTTAAAGAAATATTACCAGCCTCTAAAAAGAAATGAGCTGTTTTTGCAGTCGACTTCCTGCAAATCACTACAAAACCATATCTAAGTGCGTGGACATTATCTCACGTGCAATAAGTTGTTTTTTCTCAATTTTCCACACATTTCGGTCCATTTTGTTTTTGGTTTATGCTTCTAACCTCGTTTATTGCCATCTCAGAAATCTTGTCTTTATTCTGGTGGCCACAATGTTTCGTACGTAGCATACACGGAACTAAGTAGTTCATATATTTTGGACGCAAATACGCGCTCAAATAATTGCCACATGGTACTGTTTTCAAGTATAATTTATTTTCTTATTTACGGACAGAGAAAACATTCCAAAGAATCCATTCTTACTGAAATATTCAGAAGACTTCCTCAGGACTCTGGGATCCGAGATATAGATGATCTATTGGTAACAGAATCTAGGTTCTCTTCAAACAGTACTCTCAAATCTCCCAGATTTTACTTTTATACACGTTCAGGGAATACTTTTACCTACAGCGAACCGGTAAGTATAAATATTTATTATGATATTTCAGTGCTTACCCAAAAACTGAGAATTGTTCACGTAATATGCACTCGTCAATTGATTAGTGATCTTTTATAAAACGTTATTTGAGATTCTAAAGCTTACCAGGGTTATCTGAAATATATTGAATATAAAGCAAGCTATGAAGAATTACATATGAGATCCTTCCCGTTGAGCAAGTAAATTTTCAGTTTTATTAAACAAAATTCTGAATTATCAGACAGAACTTTAATAATAAATTCAGTCTTGCTGGATATTGTCTACAACTTGAGGACATATATCTATAACTCAATGAGATATCTATATAAGGATACATTATCCATAAAATTTACAACAAACGCTCAAGGGAAATCTCAAATGATCAGATACTGATTGGTTGCTCTAAGATACAAACTATTCATAAGAGTTGAGAATCGAATGCTTCATAATACACTGCGTTTATTTTGGAATTTTAGTTACGTGTTATACGAGCATACCGTCTTTATTGGCGCAGGACTAATTCTCCTTTAAAATCTGCGATATACTGCCCTGTTACATGCTTAACGGAAGCATTTAACCAATGGCATCAAGAGATGATTGAAGATAGACATGGTGCAGAAAGTGATTAGTCTGTTAATTGCAAATAGATACTACGAGAGTGACAGAACAACAAAACCACATTGTTTTACACACTTATTCACTATAATTCATTTATTTTGATTGTTGCCAAAATTATGGTTACAATAGTTATTCATATTACGTTGCTTCACAAAGTGTTAAATTTGTAAATAGTTGGACTGAACTCCAAAATAAACTTTACGAAAAGCCAAACTCTGTTCTTGAAAATACAGCAATGGTTAATGCAGTCGATTCTAGTTACTATTCGTGATTAGATTATTCACTGTTTCATTAAAGCCAAATTACTTTGCATTACCATCATGTGTTGGCATATAAAATGTACTTGATGAAAACTTGTCAGGAACATTAAGTCTAAGGGTGATTCCAGTCTTATGGATTTACCAAGTGGCAGATTTAGATGTATCTAAATATACATTAGTTTCAAATACACCATTTCAATTTCCCAATAGTTTTAGTCCGACGGTGGCATTAAGAAACACCAATTTCCGTCAATCTATTGATTTGACTTGATACTACTTTATTCAGATGATTGAATTAGTTTGTAACTAATATCTTGTCTGGTAAGCTGTAGAACTGTCAATCCCGGTATGTTTTGTAAAGTGGATCTTCGTCATTGAAGTGGTGCTTTTAGTTAAAAATCAGTTAAGCTTCGACTTTATCCACATCATCATATCGAATTACAACATAATCCCCAGACCAAAGGTTTATTTCTAATGATTTAATATATCAGCTGACTTGTTCAAACCTTCCACATTTAGACACGTCAAGAGCCGATATGGACTTACTGTCAAAGCTCAGGTTTAACAAGCGTTTTTCTGTAAACTCCTTAGTTGAGTATGGCCACCAAAGAATCCCTCAGTTGTCTTGATAGTTAAGTGAATTGGTTAACGCTTAATAGACGTATTAATTTAGCAAAAATAATAGGAGTGATGACAGAGAAAGACGTCAAAAATAACAGATCGCAAAAGAGGAAAACTTAAATATAGTTTAGTGAAGTAGTAAAAACACATTAATGTTCATTTTCGCTTAAGCTGAGGAGCAAAAGTGATCACTGCACCATTACGAATTTGATAATATGATAACTTATTAGTTAATACATCTAGTCTAGCACTGATAGACGGGAGACCTTCTGATGAACACAAACTATGTGGGTTCACTAGAGCTAGACATTTCGTTTTCCACAAATTACGCCAGCTAATCGACTTCGAAGGAATATTGCTGGACGGGATACAGTCGGCGGAATCTTCTTTACAGTTATCTTTTGGTAAATTTGATACACTATGGAGATGGTTCATGTACGAAGTAACTGCATCTTGTACTGCCCATCGCAATTCCAAAACACGAGCATCAACAGGAACTACCATAGGTAGTCTTACACCATCTCCTCTCAACAACGTTAGACGCATAGCCTGCGGAAACAAATAACAGAAATAAATACACATAAATCAACGTGAGTGTATTGGGATAAATTTTTATGAAGGTTATTAGGAAAGAGTGGTTTGTGCTTCCTGGTGGACACTTCTGTCAACACAACCTGAGCACAATTTGTAATAAAAAATTAGGGAATTTTCGCTCTTAGAATCATAGGATTACTGAACTATGTGGAAAACTAAGTATTAGTTTCTGACCTTCCATAAATTAACTCGAGCAACTCCAGTCAATCATTTATATACCTCTGTCAACACAACGTGGGCTTACTTGCTAGCGAAAAATAAGGTTTGTTAGACTACTGTGATTTTGGAATGTTTTTTTCTTTCTGCATAGAATAACACTATTTTAATAAGACCCAGCAATACGCATCAAAACCACTTTGCGAGAATCATTATGCTATTCTAAATGATCGAGATAGAAAGTAAATAAAGTGGAAGAATATTTCATCTCAATTAGCTTCACACCAGTATATACTGTGTATAATAGTAATATAATACCAAACAAGCGGTAGCATAGTATAATAACACTAAAACTTTAGAGGTGATTATAAAAATTTCGGGTTAGTAAGCGACTCAAAAAGCAGAATAAGCCAGTTGCAAAAATCGAAGTGATTTCTTGTAGATGAACCGAAACATATAGTAAAGAGGTTGGGAGACTGATAATGGAATTAGTAAAGAGCTTCGCCGTCACAAATCGAATTTTATCGACGATAGTAGTTATCCACGAGAGGAAGATTGTCGTATTTGTACAGTTTTGACAACCGCAGTATTATAATTCCTTACTGATAGGCTTTAAACGCAAATAAATAATATAGAGCTTACTCAGATAACCACCCTCCCCAAACATACACATATAGTGAGCCATTCATTATGTATTTAAACCATTGGAAATTTGATGGATCCTCAGTCAGAATCACTTTTCCTTGTCGTCTCAAATCTGACGAATAGACTAACAGAATATGTAGATCAAGCTTGACGAAAATACTGAAATACATATTAATGTTTGAGGCTGTTATTTTGTGGTAAAACAGGTATGCTACAGAAACAGGACTTACTCGCCCAAAGTGAATTTCTATAGCATTCATCACTTCTCTGTTTATTGGCAGGTTTACGAATTCACCTTCGTGATCGGACTTCGGAATAAGGTCATTAAGAAATCGATCGTTAGTAATGACTGATGTAAGCTTTTTATCCACTGACTCTAAAACGGTTTGATATTCCTTGATAGTTGCAGAAAATTCCTCCTCCATGAACTTCACTTTCGATCTGGATAGCAAGATCTGCGTTCAAATGCGCTGAAACCCATCATTATCTAAATGAGTTGGCAACCATGTCCAGTGAGATAAGGCAATTATGTATAGAAAATACAGAAAAAGACAGTCACCTTACGCAATATAGTAATGGTTTTCTTAAGAAACGATTGGAAAGCATCTAACTAAATTGTTAGATATTTACTGGGAATATGAAATCGACAGTATTAAGAAACGAGTTGTAAAATTTAAAAGAATAAAATGTAACCAGCCACAAAATGATAACATTGCAATTTCTATTTTTATTTCCTCCAAATTAGCTTTAAGATGAATTACAGTGAGAACAGGCGTGAATATAACTATAAGTTATGATTCGTAGAAATTCTGGACGCTATAAGAAAGTCATGAGTAGCACAAAATGACTCGAAATCTCCGTTGCATAATGTTATAACATAGAAAGGTGTTTTTAGACTTTCTATAGCACAAACTAAAATCCAAAGGATGATGACCTTAGACAGCGGAAAAAAGCTTTAATTACACCAACTTAGCTATAATACAGAGGCCCGTAGAACAATTGATGAATCGAAGTAAGGTGACTTACAGAGGATTTGTTGGACAGGACTATTTTCCGGGATTGTCTGTTTAGTGGTGTGCCTGACAAGTTTATTACCGTCTAGACAACCTTACATACAAACATTTAAGGGAGAGTGCGGGCACACAAACACCTCTCTATTGCGACACTAAATCAGCGGGATCGGACAAGGTTCCCCAATCTTGCCACTCTTCTTTCGATTATCAGAGTGGATTTCGTTTCTGTCTTCTCAAACGTGCCGGAAGTATTTTTGCTAGGCAGGACTTAACGGCCTATAATTGGGGACTTCTGCGTTTTACCGTAATGGGTAGTGACGGGTCCTTGTGGTTTCATCCCCATGAACGAGTTGACTTTCGACATCCAACCTTTTTACCCATTACTTTTATTTCCCATCCTGGAAAGCTTAGTTGTCCTGATGTACGGAACAGAAACAGGACGGGTTTTTACAGAAGCTCAACGGCCTATAGACTTATAATTATTGTTACAGCTGATCTTAGTCTTGCTATTTACAACGCGAGGCAAGAGTTGGAAACATTTTTGAGAGTGATGACGCAATTTTAGTGGGCATATGACTATGTTAAGTTGAGTTGTATTTTTAGATCGGTTACCTAAAACACTTGAGTTGGATTAACAAAAGGATATCCAGCGAACTCTAATTTATGGACGGTCTTTGAACGAATCCCAAGTGACCTTGAGAAATATTAGCCGATCAGCAAGCAGTCACTATAAAGTAAAAATGTTATACAAAACCAAGGAAATAAAGTGGATGCACTTCTTATACGTGGTTCAAAAACTTGTCGAAGTTAGGAAAAAGTTCAGTTCTTAGATCGTAATGTATGCAGCAGAGGAAATCATCCATATGGCTACAGAATAGTCGGCCTCTGGAGTCATGATAAAGTCTTAAATACTCTTAGCTTCGACCATATAGCTTCAGTATTGTTTATGTGAACTCCTGTTGTTGAGTGGACGAAATGCTACTTGTGGATAACGATACGATGCACATAACCAAGCCTATGTGTGAGTCTGTACGCTCTCCAAACATCCGTATATATTGTAGTATCTGGCTGCAGCCAGTGTTATGGGTGCTTTTATTATCCAGTTCGCAATAATTGTTGTGATTTACCTTAGTTAGGAATTATATATGGGGTTTCATTACGAACTGACAACAGCCATAATGGCAGAAATTTATTTAGCCAGATGGATGAAAGGCTTTCGCGTTAAAATCCGAGACCTATTATCTTATACCTGATTGATTAGTCCGCAAATTATAGTCTTGCCATCTTATTTGTTATAGCTACTCAATTATCACGTTTTGTACAAAACTGACAGCATAATCTAGTTGTTCGATAAAAAATACATTATGTAATGACAAATTCTATGATAACATGAGCGCACAGATGATCGTTATTACACTGGGCGATGATCAGGCTTACATGGAAACGTTGCGGATAAGTTAGCATTAAGCACTGGAGTTGGCGCCGTAACCTTGAAATCTCTAAAACAATTTTGATTGAATGGTTCAAATGGTTGTGGACGTGGTGGTAGGCTCTGTCCTTTACACGTTTTTTATCATTTAGACAGTTCACAAGTGGGATGGTCAACTCCAACTTGCCTTTGTGCTTGGTCCTAGCCTCATATGGCTTATCCGTGTGCATGTAGATTCCAGGTGGCAATCGACGTCTGTTGGCACAAAATGCTTCCAGAACTGCAGCTGCCATGTGGGAAGATGGGAAGATTATCTTCATTATACGGGGTCTAAGATCACCGTCCTTCTTGGCTAGTCTCGTCACATGCTGAGTCAGTATGTGTTTGAGCCTCAAGGACTGTTTGATGAATTTCCATTCCCTGATGTCAGAATTCGATTGAGTAGGGTCTGCATTTTCCGGTATACCTTGCACAATTATGTTTCTTCCGTGGAAGAACTTCTCGCGAGATTCTTTAGGGACGTTCCGTATGATATTGCGCTCAGAGTACAGCATGTCGGGCAATATTCTTACGTTACCATCGGATTTCAGCAAGTGACTTGCTAGCAAGACGTCCTCCATGTCGGTAGCATTCTCAAGTGTTACTCGGAGAAGCCTCGGGTGATTTAGATGCTTAGAATCCTTTCCTCGAGTGAGCCGGGTGACCGTCAAAGGCTTTATTCTAGAAAGTTAGAGCTTCTTGTTCAATTGACCCCAGAGCATCCTGTCATTTTTGTCCTGCAGACTGAGAGGAAGGTCAGGATTGTCAACGAGGTTCATGATAATGAGAGAATCGTCACGAACTGTTGTTGATTTAACAGGTTTCACGATGGGTTCAGGTTTAATAACTTGTTGTTTGGAGGTCAGTGCGCGTTTTTGAGTCTTGGGCTCTTTATTGACCGGACGAACAGTCTTCGGGGTAGGCTCTGCGACCAAATCACCAGTTATTTTCCATACAACAACACTTGGGTTGCTCGGCTTAGGCGGTGATGCCTGATTCTTTTGGGCTCTCTTAACGTAGGTCGAACCACCTACAGGGTTTTGGGGAACCACTGTTGTGTTCAGGGACCCTGAGCTGGGAGACCCGAGTTTGCTTAGGGAGTCTAATACTGTCGACGCAATGATGGTGCTGAGCCTCGACACGTCATCATTAGTGTTGATGGATGCTCCATCGATGGTATACCTGTCGACATCCCTATTTTTGTATCCGTCGCACGCTCTTGTTTGTCTATCGGTTTTTTTACTATCGTTATCCAAGTTAACTGACAACTTGTTCCGAAGACCTGTTAGTAGGACAATGATGTTACTCAGCAAGACTACAGCGTCCGTACAGCACGTGACACATACCCACTTTTGGTCTGACTTGCTGAGTCGGTTGTAAGCAGTTGCTGTCAGATCTGTGCATGCTTCGTGGAACCAACCTTTGCAGTTGTCGCACTGCATGCCAGTTGTAACAGCAAAACGGCATCTCGGACGTTTGCGTGAGTTTTTCATGACTATGTTGAAGCAAACTATATTATAGATGCTTGCAAAAGCCTAAGACCTTTAAAAAAACACTAAAAAGCACACTGAAAACGGACAAAAATGGATAAAACGAGTGATATAAACTGAAACTAGTCTATACGTGAAAAACAAAAAAAACCGAATAGTAGGGTGAGGCAAAACCACAGGTAACTATTAAATATGGTGAAACTAAAAAAAAGTAATCTACCGAACGTATAGCTCAGGATAGATTTTTTAGAACTGAAATGGTACTTTTGTTGCGTGAGAACAGAGCAAAATTTTGATAAATGCAAATCACGTTAGGACTAAACTTCCCGTTCGAAAAGCGCGCACCCAGATTGGCTCGTTCATAAATTAGAGTCTCGCCCAGATACAAAGTGTATCAACATCTTTGGTAATATATGAACTAACTGCTTGAATCCAATGTTCCAGATAAAGTCTCACGTAGACTGGGTACAGTACGCGGAACTTATACTCCTCAAACCATTTGAAAGCCCAGAAGAGTTATGTAGTGCCAGTAAGATGTGACAACGCTTCGGTAGTATCGTCCACTGACGGAGGTTACTGAGCACTCGAAGGTCAAAATGTCGCAAAACGATTAGTGGGTCAGCTCGACAATTCTTATGGTTTTGCAAAAGCGGTCAAATCAAGATAATTACAAATTTGATTTGAGTTCAGCCCTATTAAGTCTGACAGCCTCATCCTTCAAGTAGGTGAAGTGACGACATCGTTATGATATATGATATGGGACGAATCTCCAATGATATAATGTTTTCGCGACAATATACCAGTTAATATAATTTTGAGACCTGCCGGAAAGGAGTACACATTTGCATCGTTACTTGTCTCGAAACTTTGGTAGCCTTCACTGTAATACTGTTTTCATGACGGCGTATGTTTTATTCAAGTTATTTCACATAAAACTAAATCATGACTCTGCGTAAAGTGTATGGCTAGGTGGAAATCAATGCTTGCCTGTGATGCAATTTTTGAAAAACTGTTCTAGCGGTACATGAATAATTAGTTTTCAAGTACTACGCAATACCATGTACGACGAAGTTAAAAAAGAACTATTCACTTAGCTTCGGAATGAAGTTGTAGCTTCGTCAGTTCACTCAGAACTACAATTTTTGATCGTGCACAACGTAGAAATAAAAAGCAGTGCAAAAATTGCCGTGCTACCACAGCGTCGTTGCCTAAAATGTGACTGAGCCCCAGCCAAATCAGCCGGCTATCGGGCCACCGAATATCTAACAGTTTACTGAACCTCACCAAGGTTAATGTACTGTGACTGTCTTGATAGATTCAACGTTTCTACAGAAACACGTTATCAAGAATAGGTACAAGAAACGGAATGCGACTATTACTCCATGGACCAGTCGGCAACAATCCAGTGGCATCGTCCGTCAATGGAATTCGCTGAGCACTTGAAAGTCAAACTA